CATTGGTGAATGCCACAAATTCTCCTAAATCACTCGTACGCACAACTTAAGAACAAATCTGTGCGTACGAACGGTTCTTGCATGAGGCCCAGTGAGTAAATATTTCATGGTATCAATAACTCACCTTTTCTTCCTCCTCCTTTTCGCAGCTCTTTGTCCTGAATGAAACCGGCAAACATCTGGGTGTCCATGAAGAGCTGCAGGAACTGCCGGACCCCACGGGATGGGTGAGACTTGCGGAAACTGTCCCTCTGGAGCTCCTTTGTTCCGTTGAAGGACTCGGCCATGTGGAGAGAATAGTGGCCCACCAGCTCCACGAAAAACCGAACGAATGCCTCCGACACCAGGGAGCTCAGGTCGGCCTGGTGGCCTGGATGAAGACGTTTGGATCAACGTTACAGAAAAAAAAGACTGAGCTTCCTGTAAATATGCTTTAATATCAAGAAGAGAGAATCAGCAGTGGTGGGCACAGATCTGATAATAAATTTAAGTATTAAAGTGTCTGTGACATGCCTATCCTTCAAAAAATAAAAAGTCAAAGAAAACATCTTTTTACTTAAAAAAAAATTGGCATAGTATTTTTACACATTTTGTCACATAGCTGGCCTATTTTCTTTTGAATTTGGCTCAGCCAAAGTGGAAACAGGAAGTGACATCAAAGGAGAACTCATTAATAAAATAAACTCTCTGGTCGTTGTTTATTAAAATAATAATATTTAAACTAACTCTTGTTCGTCTCTTTTTGACAGAAACTCAAAATAATCTAAAGAAGCAGACTCTTCTCTACAGTCTGTGTTGTTAGTTTTTGTTACAATGCTCTCTTCACATGCAGACATTCCCCTTTGACATCACTTCCTGTTTCTTCACATGCAAATATCTCATCCATCGTTCATCTCAGTGGTGTGAAATTTGTTTTGCAACATGTTATCAATGTGATCTTTCCAAAAATTCTTTCATATTTATTACAAAAATCTGATGTCACATGTCCTTTAAACTTCAATTTTTACATCATTTATCCTAATTAAATCAAAACTATTCCCTCTTACAAGCAGTGCTGGATGTAGCATCTTAAGAGCATCAAAAAGAAATAAAACAAAATAAAATAGAGACGGTATCAAGTTAGACAGAGCTATCACTGGTTTGGATTGGTCGATTTGCCACAGATGATCCCACCCACTTTCAAATCAAACCAATAAAAAACCAGCAACAGGTTTTCAGCTGGAAAGTGATGAAGCTGACACAGGCTGGTTGGCTGTTATCTTAGCGGTTAGCATTAGTGAAGCTAACTTTGTGGTTAGCTGGTCCTACCACTGAGCATCAGGAACCATAACAACGAGGAGGACAGTTGTACTAACCTCCATAGAACTCTCCACTGTCTTGTCTCAGGATGTCTTCTCTGTCTTCCAGGACCTGCTGCAGTGCCGCCTGCAGTTTACTGGGCAGGATGCAGTCTTCATCACCCAGCTAAAACAAACCACAGGAAAAGAGCAACATGTTGAAGTTAAATAACTGGTTTTAAATCGGAAACATTTTTCCTGTTTGCTCAGTTGCTTTTGGCCCGTCTGCATATTTTAATGTGCTGAAACACAACTTCTGTAGATTAGCTCGTAGTTTACAAAAGTTCAGTTCTTGAAATGACAAAAATAAAGTGTTGTAAACTAAAAATGCTGCTCATTGTTAAAGCGATCCACAATTAGTTGTAACATTAAACTTTACTTGATAAACATATTTTAAATGTAAAATAAAGACTAAAAATACTGTAGGCTGTTTAGTTTTTATAATTTTGAAACTAAATTTAAAAAAAACATATTACACGGACTGAGCCATTTTATTTACACGCAAAGCATTCTGGGTAAACAATGAATTTGATGAGGTCATTGGTGCTAGTGAGCTATATCCACCCTGAAGGTTAATCTTGGACAATATCTGATGAT